CGCTCTGCTGTGACGCGGGGCGGGCGGCACCACGCTGCGGGCCGACGGAGAGCCTCTGGAAGGCGGCGTCGCACCGGCCGTCACTCACACTGTGCGCCGACCCCGAAAACGAGGGTGCCCGCGGCTTCGGCGACGCCAAACGACGTCCTGCACACCCACCACCAATACTACTACGACTACTGCCACCACCACCACCACCACCAGCAGCAGCAGCAGCAGAACCGGGAGGTGATGTCACTGACGACAACCTGCCGCTGCCTGAGTGCCGCATCAGCTTGGGCCTCTTGGAGAAGGCTCTCTTTAGAGGTACCTCTGCTGCTGCTGCCGCACATCCCTCTTCCTCAGCTACTTCCACCACAGCTGCTTCTGGTCTTGATTTCGCGGTAGCCATCGCGGTTGATGCGCCGCGTGACTGTATGGATTTGGCGCGTTGCAGGGCCTCGCTGCCGCCACGCACCGTAAGGAGGAGACGGCGCAACCTCACCACTTCGTCCTGTAGCTCTATGACTTTCTGCAGGCGAAACTCCGCGAGACGCTTGGCCCCGTTAAGCTCCTGCTGCAGCTGCACATCTGCGGGCCCGTCAGCCGGGCCAGACATGCCTGCGCGGAACCAGACAGAGACTACTGCCCGCAGCGCCAATACAGTGGAGAGTGTGAGGGAGGAGAAGAGGAACGTATGTGTGTAGTTGCACATCTCGGCGAAAGAAGCTCAAGCCGGTCAGAGGAGGAATGCGGGAGGCCCGACGTCCAAGTCGAGCAAGAGTAACACAAGTAGCAATATAACCATCATCAGCAACAGAAGCAGACACATACGCCCGCGCGCACACACACACACACACACGCAGAGAAAGAGAAAGAGAGAAAGAAAGATCGAGGCGAAATGAGCCACGGTATCAAGCAGCCTGCAGAAGTTGAGAGATCTCGGCATGTGTGATAGGCATCTCAATGCCGGCGTACAGCGGCCAGCGGAGCAACGACTCCAAGAAGTCGATCTTCTGTAAAAACAGTGTGCAGAAGTGCTGCCACACCCGCTGCAGCAGCGTGCAATGGAAGGACTCCTCCTCCTGCCGCCCTGCCACGTCGCGGAGGAAGTGCTTCTTCATCCGCCGCGAGCTCGACGGGATGCCGTTGCGCACCTCCCGCGGGAGACACCGCACAATGCGTCGCACCTCCTCAACGGAGAGCGCGTTGTGGTGCCGCAGCTCCTCGCGTGAGTGCACCTGCGCGAGGTCCTCCGCGACAAGTGCAAATGTGCCGAACTCCGGGAAGTCCTTCACGAGAACAACACGGGTGAGGTAGACCTCCTCGTAGCGGTCGCGTTGCACCAGCGAGGCGTCGTTGCGCTCGCGCAGCAGCTCCACCGCGTAACTTGACGGCGGCAGTGAGGCGTAGAAGGCGCAGAAGAAGGCATGATGGCGGTACTGCTGCAGGAACACGCGCTTGATGGACTTCGTGTCGAGACCGTCGATGAGCTTGTTCGCCCGCCGCGCGATGGCTTCGATGAGGTTGAGCCGCACGTGGCCGCCCGCCTCGGGGCTGGCGAGGCTGCTGATGTAGTTGAGCGCCTCGAACGCCTGGTCGACGAAGCTCAGCGCGACGGCGGCGTACTCTGTGCGGCTGCGCACGGCTTGTGGCAGCGCGTTGTGCACTGCCTCCATGCGCTGCACGAAGGCGGGTAGCTTCGTAAAGCAGCAGAGCATGCCGGCGGGGTGCACGACGTAGCGCTTGCGGCAGGCCGCGATGGAGGCAGTCTGCTCAGCGACGCAGCGCGAGATGGTGGACGCCACGACGCGCTCAAGCGCCTGCAGTATCTGCTGGCATAGCGCACTTGCGGCGGTGGGCGTGCCGTCGCGCTTGTACGCCTTCACCATGACCATCACCGGCACGGCATACAGGCGGTCGCATTTCGCCCCGCAGTACTCTGCGAAGCTCACTAGCTGCTGCTGCAGAAAGCACTTCTGCGGCTTCCCACGGCCGTTGTTGCTACCAGCCTCCGGGTTAGTGGTAGTGCTTCGGCTTCCGAACTCCACCTCGCTGCCGCGGAGCTGCGGTGAGGTGTACGCGGAGGCGGTACCACTCGACGGAAACTGCACCAACTTATCGCCTCCGAACAACTCCAGCAGCGACTCCGCCAGAAGCACAGCCGCATCCGTCTCGCAGGCCGCCATGACGCTACCGTTGAATGGCGTGACGACCCGGATATTGCTGTCTTCGTTGGCTTCTGCGACGTCATCACCGTTCTCCGCCGCGATGCCGAAGCAGCGGTGCAGTATCTCCTCCTCCTGCAGCACGGCACCGAGCGTCGTCTCAAGAGCCATGGCGAGCGCCAAGTCCGGTCGCAGCTCCCCGCTGCTGCTGCTGGTGCCGCTGCCACCGTGGGTGCGGCCCGAGACCAGTGAGAAGGCCGACGG